TAAATGCTATTAATTAACTATATGACCCAGGAAATTTCACTTTTAGCTCAAATTTTCTTATTTATAAAATAAAAATTTTGAAGGAGAAGCTTAATATCTCTAAATCATCCCATGTCTTCATATAAAGAGATACTTCAGTATATTTGGAGTAAGTATAAAAACAGTATATTTGAAATAGGTATAAAAAATCTCTTTGAATATAATTATTGCTTTTTTCCTTAGCTTTACACTTCTGTTACTTTTAACTCTCTGTTAATATTAGAATATTCAGCACAAATAATATTACTGTTGAAAAATGAATTCTAAAAACGCTTTTCTCAAATAGAGGAATGCATAATGGGATTTTCAGTATTTATACGCTAACAGAATCTATTTATACCAAGGTTTTCATGGTCATGACATGATTTTCCCAAAATTTAGGGTTATTGCTATTTGGTAAGAAGTAGGGAGCATACATATTTCTGTTTATTTTAATTCTAGGTAAGTTGATTGGTGCTAGTGGTGCTTTTCTTGATACTTTTTCTATTTTATCTTGTCAATGCTTTGTTATCAGTTACATCCAGTCTCCTGTAGAGATGTACTGTTTCACCGTTGCTGTCATAGTCTAGGACTAATGAGACATCTGACAGTTTTTCATGTTTGCGATATGTGTTCTGTATCCTTAAGTATATAGGAGATGTGCTCATATTTGGAGAGAAACTGAACCTGTGGAATAGCAAGACACTTTCTAATCACATTTCACTGTATTTTCAAAAATCGTTATGAAAAGGGATGTTACTTTGAGTCATCATTCAGTTAAACAGATAGATGTATGCATTGGAATTCTTAATACGAAAGTTATATTTCACTTGGCATTTGACTGAATGTTTAAATTTAAAAGTTTTATTACATAATATACAAGCAAAATAATCCCAGTGTTTATCTTGCTTACTACTTGAGAAAGACAATAAGAATGAATTTCTGTAATGTGTTTGTAGCAAGACAAGTGTTTTGAGGTTATTTCATCCGTGTACTTGATTTGTACACATCTGTGAGTTTCCATGTATAGAAAGATTTTGCGACTTACGAAAGGATTGGCATTGACAGTTTTGGTTCCTTTAGAAGTTGAAATAATTCAACATTCATCTTATAATTGCTTCTTTGCATTGTAAAAATGATTGTCTTATAATTTTATGCTTTGTATCCATTCTTGTAATTTTGGAACACTCTTATGCATCATTGTATTTTAATATAATAGGGTAGAGAATAAATAATTAACCAACTGCTTAGGCTTTAGCTCTAAGAACTTTATTCTATATCAGTTATTTTCAAAATTATTACATCGTTAAGATCATTTCAACTGCAAAACTCATTGACCTTCATCTAGTGTATTGGATAACATGAGAAAGTTTGACTTTGCTAATACTTGTGATTTTTCTAAATAGGCAAATTATCCTACCTGGTGTGTTAAAGGGACTGTACTCAATAGCTTGCATTTGGAAAATAACCTTGTTATCCCCACTGTCCTCTTTAGATCCATATAGTGGGGTCTCCCTTTTAAGGTTCTAAATCAGATCTCTGCAAAATTTCTTGACTTTTTCAGTTACTTTGAAATAAAGAATAGTCTTGCTTTTAGGTATGAAGAAGTCTTGTCGAATGCAAATAAAATTCATGCTACATGCAGCTTAAAGATTCTCCTCTTGTGTTCATCCTGGTATCCTCCAAACTCAGCTTAGGCATGACCCAGGTTCTACAACCCGCAGCAGTGGGAAATTGGCCAAGACATGGCTTATTTCTTAACTGGTTTTGTCCTATTTCTTCTCCCACTTGTTAGCTGTTGCTTCTGGCTCCTTTAAGATAGGCAAGGAGGAGGAACTAGAAGAAAAGACCAAGGTCTTCCTTGATCATTGTCATTGGAATCTGGTATTGAGGCCATCAGTTTGGCAGATGTGCAAATAAATGCCAGTTCTTTCTCTAAAAGGATGCTTTGTTGAACATTGTAGAATCCTTCCCACTGCCCTCCCCCTATCTACTCAGGGACCTCTAACCCTATACCTTTCTGTAGGTGGACGACTTGTTCTCTGCCCGGCCTGAATGGACATTGTCTCCTCAGTTACTACTTCTAAGAGCATACCTTGCACATCCTTGCCCTAGAAGGCAGTTTTCTTGAGCTGGATACTTTACAGGTGTCTCAAATCCAGATACCTTGTTCTATCCAAAAAGAAAACTCAGCACCTTTGTTCTTGTGTCTGAAACTTGGACATGAAGCAGGAGCCATTGCAGCCTTTCCTTGGATATTTGCCATCCCATGCCATTTTCAGATAACAGTCCAAATTCTAGGCAATGCTGTTGAAGATTCCAGGAGAATTCTTCCCATATTCAGGTTCAGTACTAACATTAAAGTAAGCTATGAGTTTCTGTTGCTGAATAAGCATGGGATCTGGGGGCAGAGGGGTTAAAAAGAGAGGGCTTAAGACGTTATTCTTTTCTTTTCCACCCATGGCTGTTTAGACACAATTACTCTAGAATGTAGAGGAGTATGTTTAGTTACTTGAACCTATTTTTATTAATGATTAATTTGTGTTTAAGGGAAGAAAAATGATCTGTTTATATATATACAGACACAGAGAATCATCATAAATACCATAATGGTAAATGCATAATGTAAATATCTTGAATTGGTGACTCAGTGACCCTTATAGTCATGGGTAATTTGATTTTCTGACATTTTAGTAAGTTTATAAACAAAACAAATGGTAATAATTCTCAACTTATACAATAGTTGTATTCCTAGGAAATTCTTTGCATTTTTGAACCATGCTAGACGTTTACTTCCAGATATAACAGACTAAATTGTGGTGGTTGAAACTGACTTCCAAAAGCCAAGGGGTATGGGAAAACTACTCAAAAACATCTTGAAGTCACCAAGGCAACCAGACCTGAAGGAGCCATGATCCTGGAGAGAGGGAGACACACTATCATCTTCCCCTCAAAACACTGGACAAGTCATAGTTAGTGAACAGTGAGAGCCTGAAAAGTTGAGCAGAAACTGATTGCCAACATGGTATGAAACAGCAAAAATTTTCGAAGTTTCATGGTGCTAGAGGGATAGAGTTAGAAGTTAGGATTTGCCAAGGAGGGAGGGACTCAGGATCTCCTTTGGGACCCTGAAGGCCTGTTGTCTAAGGATAACACAAATAGACTAGATCTTAAAACAGTGAGCCTTGAATTAAGTCAGTATCCAATTTAAATCCTAGACAGATGCTAAAACAAATCTTCTTTGGAGAAAAATAACAATGTTGAGAGGTTCTATAAATTTTTATATATAATCTTCAGCATTCAATAAAAAATTATTAGGTATACTGAAAAATGATAGCAAGAAAAAACAGACAATGGAAAAGAACCCACTAGTGACATAAATATTACACAGCTACTATAGTAAGATAAAATAATTTGATCCAGAAAATAGAAGGAAAGATGTAGATTTTTGTCAGAAAATGATGCCCAACACACACACACACACACACACACACACACACACACACACACACACACACACACAGAGCTCTGGTGTGAATGTTTTTATCCCCTCACAAATTAATCTGTTTAAATCTAACCCCCAAGGTGATAGTATTAAGAGATTGGGCCTTTCCCAGGTAATTGTCATGAGGGCTGTGCCCTCATGAATGAGGTTAGTGGCCTTCAATAAAAAAGTTTGAGGCCGGGTGCAGTGGCTCATGCTTGTAATCCCAGCACATTGGGAGGCGGAGGTGGGTGGATCATGAGGTCAAGAGATCAAGACCATCCTGGCCAACATGATTAAACCCATTTCTACTAAAAATACAAAAATTAGCTGGATGTGGTGGTGCAAGCCTGTAGTCCCAGCTACTCAGGAGGCTGAGGCAGGAGAATCACTTGAGCCCAGGAGGCAGAATTACACTGAGCAAAGATCATGACACTGTGTTCCAGCCTGTCGACAGAGGGAGGCTCCATCTCAAAAAACAGAAAAAAAAGGTTTGAGAGAGTTTGTTTGCATCTTTTACCATGCGAGAACACAGCTAGAAGGTGCCATCTACGAGGAATGGGCCCTCACCAGACACGAGATCTGTAGCCATGTTGATTTTGGACTTCCCAACCTTTAGAACTATAGGAAAAAATTTCTGTTGTTGATAAATTACCCGGCCTAAGGTAATTTATTAAAGCAATCAGAACAGATTAAGACATACACATGTCTATGTATATATTATTAGTATTATATAAAATAGGTTCTAGGCTCAGATGAACATAAATATAATGTAAACGTAAAAAAGCAGAAACAGGTTTTGAACCTATGAGAATGTTTGGTAGGGCATTTGAAAATCTGTGGGATTTGGATATTCTTCATGGTATAGAGCTATTAGGAGCATTAAATAGTATCTATTATCCCTGCTTGCCCAAATTGACCATAGCCCCTTAACATAATCATGAACACTGAAAACACTTCCACAAGATTCCAAGATACCTTGTAGGACAGTAATGCCCCTGTTGAACTCTGCTCCTCAGTTGCTTGATCCAACACATCTTTATGGGTAGTGATGAAGACAAGGAATAGTGATAGTTACACTAATGTGCATATGTCATACAGCTGGTTATCTGCAGAGATGATGTTGGAACCCTCACCACCTAACTTTTAATACTAACGTCTACAAACCCTCTATTCCACCGAACTTTAAGAATTCTTAAGAAATCTCATTTTGATTTCTAGGTTAATCAGCATTTTGAGGATTTTTGTGTACATGCCCTGAATGATACAGGATACCTGAAAACTATTAATAACTGAAAACCATTAGTTATTTTTAAAACTCCCTTTAATATAGTAATACAAATTCCTTTCCAAAATTCTGAAGTAGGTTGAGAGTTTTTCTGAGAGTTTAAAGGTCTGAAAACACCTCACCCTGCTTTAGCTTAGGGGAATCAAAGGAATACTTCAAAGACCTCAAGTTTGAAAAATATCAGAAAGTCCTACTTACAGTTCAAAGCAGTCATAGGTGAATCATGAGGGATTTCTGTGGAAACTTAGTATCCAAATATATTTTTCCTTTGAAATTCACACAGGCTTCTAAATTCAGTTGTATTATCATTTTTATAAATTCCTTCACAACTCCGCTGTTCTTCAGCATCATCTGGAATCATACCCTCTAGTCCAGCTTTAATGTTGAGATATGTCATCTCACAGCCTTCTGAGATGTCTGTCTGACCACTGCTTCTCTTACACGTGGAATAAAAGATTTGATCTTTCTGTGTAACTTCAGCTTTGCATTTTTATTATGCCTCTCTCAAAAATGTTGAGTGTTAATGGTTCCTTATTGATAGTACTCAGAATTAGTATGAGTGAATCATTTATTTTTCTGGGTAAGTTTGTATGCAAGCTATACTGTTTCTTATGTTTTTCCCCTGACCTAGTAGATTCTTAATATCTGCTAGTGATCCATGTAGTATTATACATATATACACACATACATACATATACACACACATACATCTGCTAGTGATCTATATAGTATTATACATATATACACACATATATGTATGTATACATATATACATACTAATAATATATGTTCGTACTACATATGTATGTATTACCTAGTACTAGTAATGTGTATATACTGGTGGTATATCCAGGCAAACCTTGGAGATAATGCAGATTTGGTTCTAGACCACTGCATTAAAGTGAGTCACATAAATTTTTGGGTTTCTCAATGCATATAAAAGTTATGTTTCCATTCTACTGTAGTAGATTAAGTATGTAATAGCACTATATCTAAAATTAAAATGTATATACCTAACTGAAAGTATTTTGTTGCAAAAAATGCTGATAATCATCTGAACCTTCAACAAGTTGCAATCTTTTTGCTGGTGGAGAGTCTGGCTTCAATGTTGATGGCTGCTGATTGATCAGGGCGGTGGTTGTTAAAGGTTGAGGTGGCTATGGCAGCTCCTAAAAATAAGACAATGAAGTTTGCTGCATTGACTGACTTTCCTTTCATGAAAAATTTCTCTGTAGCATGAGATGTTTGATACCTTCTGTAGAACTTCTTTCAAAACTGGAGTCAATCCTCTCAGACCGTGTCACTACTTGTAAACTAAGTTTATGTGCTGTTCTGAATGCTTTGTTGTCGCTTTGGCAGTGTTCATAGCATCTTCACAGGAATAGTTTTCATTTCAAGAAACTCTTTTCTTTTCCTTATCCATAAAAAGCAATTTGTTCATCCCTTCAAACTCTTATCATGAGATTACAGCAATTCAGTAACTTCTTCAGACTCTGCTTTTAATTCTAGTTCTCTTGCAATTTCTACCACATTTGCAAGGCTTCTCCACTGAAGTCTTGGATTCTTCAAAGTCATCTGTGAAGGTTGGAATCAGTTTCTTCCAAACTCCTTAATGTGGATATTTTGACGACCTCCTATGAATCACAAAAATCTTAATGGTGTCTAGAATGGTGAATCCTTTTCAGAGGCTTTCAATTTACTTTGCTCAGATCTATCAGAGGAATCACTATCCAAGGCAGCTAGAGCCTTAAAAAAATTATATCTGAAATAATAAGACTTGAAAGTCAAAATTACTCTTTGATCCATGGGCTTCAGGGGCATTTTGTTAGCAGGAATGACAGCAACATTAGTCTCCTTATATATCTCTGTCAGAGCTTTTGGGTGACTGATTGCATTTTCAATGAGAAGAAATATTTTGAGGGAAATATTTTTTTCTGAGCAGTAGGACTCAACAGTGGCTTAAAATATCAGCAAATTATACAAAAATTAGCTGGGCGTTGTGGTACATACCTGTAGTCCCAGCTACACAGGAGGCAGAGGCAGGAGAATTGCTTGAACCTGGGTGGCGGAGGTTGTAGTGAGCCAAGATTGTACCACTACACTCTGGCCTGGTGTGAGAGAGAGAGAGAGACTCGGTCTCAAAAAAGCAAACAAACAAAAAAATCAATAAATTATGCTATAAACACATGTGTTATCATCTAGGCTTTGTTCTTTACAGCGCACAGGAAGAGCAGATTTAGCATAATTTTTAAGGGCCCTAGGGTTTTCAGAATGGTAAATGACCCTTAATTTCCACTTAAAATCACTAGCTGCATTCACCCCTAAAGAAAAGAAAATTAGCCTGTTCTTTGAAGCCAGTCATTGACTTCTGCTCTCTAGCTATGAAAGTCCTAGATGGTATCTTCTATTGGAAGGCAGTTCCATCTACATTGTAAATGTGCTTAGTGGTTTAGTGTGACTACCTTCATCAATGATCTTATCTATCTAGATCTTTTACTTAATGCAGTTTCTCCATCAGCACCTGCTGCTTCACTTTGGACTTCTATGTTACGGAGATGGCTCTTTCTTTAAACCTCATGAACCAACCTCTGCTAACTTTAAAGTTTTCTTCTGTAGCTTCCTGACCTCTCTCAGCCTTTGTAGAATTAAAGAGAGGACCTTGCCCTGCATTAGGTGTTGCCTTAAGGGAATGTTGTGGTGGGTTAATCTTCTACCCAGACCACTCAAACTTTTAGCATATCTGCAGTAAGCCTGTTGACTTTCTTATTTGTATGGTCACTGGAGTCGTACATTTAAGTTCCTTCAAGAGTTTTTGCTTTGCATTCACAACTTCCCTAGCTATTTAGTGCAAGAGGCCTAGCTTTCACCCTGTCTTGGCATTTGCCATGCCTTCTTTACTAAGCTTGTTTCTTGCTTTTGATTTAAAGTGAGACATGTGTCTCCTCCTTTCACTTGAAAACTTAGAAGCCGTGGTAGTGTTATTAATTGGCCTAATTTTAATATTGTTGTGTCTCAAAACTAGGGAAACCAAGGAAATGGAGAGAGATGGGGGATTACCCAGTCGTTGGAGCAGTCAGAACACAGACTTATTTTGATTAAGTTGATTGTCTTACATTGGTGCAGTTCTTGGCACCCTGAAACAATTGCAATAGTAATATCAAAGATGCCTGATCACAGATCACCCTAACAGATATTAAAAGAAAGAAGAAGTTTGAACTATCCTGAGAATTATCAGAATGTGACACAGACACACAAAGGGAGTACATGCTGTTGGAAAACTGGTCCCGATACACTTGCTTGATGCAGGATTGTCACCAGCCTTTAATTTTGAAAAACACAGTATCTTCAAAGTGCAATAAAGTAAAATACAAGAAAACGATGTCATCTCTTTCTCTCTATATAAATCACTAGTGTGAGAGCTTGGGAATGAGCACCACTACATACCTACAGAAAGTAATTACAGAGCCATTTAATTCATTTTGTACATGTACACAAAGCCAAACAATTTCACATTTGTCAGAGCCTCAGTGAATTACATCTCAGTGAGCCTTGCAGGAAGGTGCTGTACCCTGCAGAGGGGTTGACATTTACTTGGTAGACTTCTGGGTATGCCAGAGAGGCTTAGGAAATTGTGGATACCAGTTGTTACCCTTCATTCCCTTGCTATTTAGCAATGGCCTTGGTAGCAATATATCTCTGAGAGTGAATTTGTCTTCATTCCTCCATTCAATAAATAGACTTCAATGCGTGCTTAAATGCAAGGCTTCTCTATTGGTGTGTATGTGACCATAGGTTCATACTGAAATATTTCCGTTCTTGACTTTTTACATGCCTTTTGGATGTCTGCGAAAATATTACTTCAGTCCTAATTTTTTGCCTGAGTTCTTTTATGTAGCTGCAGCTTTGGAGCGAACCATGTATATGTAGTTCACCGCAGCTGTGCAGATAGATTTCAGAGGTATCATGAAGGCCTCTGACTTCCCTTTATCCCAACCCTTATGTTTCCTTTCCCACCAACTAATAGATGCCTCTCCTACCAGCCCATGGGTATGATTGTTCTATTTAGAATTGTTCACATGACTCAAGTTTTTAAAATGGAAACTTAAGCCTATTTTTTGGTTGCACATTGGCGTGAATTTGCCTTTACTTTGGGGAGAACATGTGTTGATGATAAGAAGGTGAAGGATTCTGGATACTCTGAGGAAGGAAGTGCTGCTGTTGAAGGAAGCCAGAAGTACCCAAGCCATCTAGAATAGATTCTGCTGATCACCATATGACTTACTATTGGTTTAGAGAGCTGTTACTGGAGTTATGATTCTCCTCTTATGTCAGGAACAGAGAAATAGGTAATCTAACTGACTAATTAGGTTGATGCTTAGACTTTTGGTGTGTGCTGGTTCAGCCTAGAGGAAATCACTTAGAATATCAGATTCAACAAGGTGTTCTTCTTTTCAGAATCCAGGGTGAGAGGACTCTCTCACCCTGTGGAAAAAGAATAGTCATGTATTTTTTCTTACTTCATGATATCCTTACATTTTTATTAACTATATACTTCTTTATAGGGGTTAGAGTTGAAAGTGTAGATTCCAGAGTCAAGTAGCCTATTTTTAAATCCTGGCTGTGCTACTTACTCACAGTGTGACCTTGAATAAGTTAGCCTTATTGTACTTAAGTTGTCTAAAAACTGGGGAATAATAATGGGATCTACCTCGTAGGGCAATTGTGGTGATTAAGAAAATATGTAGTTGGGCATGGCGGTGTGCTCCTCCAAGTGGCAGCTACCTGGGAGGCTGAGGCAGGAGGATGGGTTGAACCCAGGAATTCGAGGCTGTGGTGAGCTATGACCAACCCATTGCACTTCAGCTTGGGTAACAGAGTGACACCCTGTCTCTTCAAAAAAAAACGTAAAGAAAATATTTAGATAGAATTTAGCAGTTTGTGTAATGTTAGCATTAACTATATTAAAGTTTCTTTTAACCTGTTCTTTTATGATTTCTTACAACTTCAAAATGTGATTGATTAGCATCCATTTAGGTGGTATTTAAATGCTTTTCAATGGCTACTGACTATAGTATTTTCTTAATCCTTTTGCAGTGCAAAGTATGATAACTGTTTTCTGAATATATTGGTTCCAGTGAATTACTTGCCCCTTCAGATAGTTGGCTACCAGTGACACCTTTATTTGAAAACTCTGCAGATGTGTTTGTGTCTAAGCTTTTGTTTTATCAACCTGGTAATTCTACATTCCTTAATTTAAAACAGATTGAAACTGTGACAAACGCATAAGCTGAGTTTATAATTGCTCAGCAAATTTTTCTTTAAACCTGCAAACACACAGTATCCCAAATAGTCTCACTAGTGTAATAATTTTTTATTTTCACCAAAGTAGTTTTACAAAAGACATCTTTCAAACAAGTCTTTAATAGACTGAGTGACGACTTTTTTTTAAAGTTAATCAACACTTAGCTGTCCTTCCAAATGAAGTCTGGATCTGTTTACTTACACTGGTCTCTCAACCCTCATAAGCATGTCTAGAATACATTTCTAAAGTAAATCTGTTACTAAGAAGCTACTGTTAAAAAAGTATTTGTAGTAAACATAACTTGGTGTGGTTGCCTTGCTTGCAGGAACTTTCCAGGTGGTCATGAATATGCTGTGTGGGTCACCAATTTTGCTGTTGGCTGCAATTGAACAGGGTAGGCCAATGGTAGGGGCTCCTTTCAGCCCACAGGTGATTACTGTTCAAAAGGTGGTGATCACATCCAATTCAGACTTTCCTGCAAATTTTGCCAACTTGAGAAAAAAAAATCTTATTTAAATTTTTAAATTTTTCTTATTAATAGCAGTATGGTGGTACTGCCAGTACCCGAGTGACACTTAGCCTGAGAAAGAAGCAGAGATAAAGTCTATAGAGGAAGAGAGAGCATCTGAATGGCATTTGAGTCCCGAGATCCACTGTGTGAAGCCAGTCACTCCTCTTTTCATCCTGCAAGTGTTTTGTTTAGGTTTAAATTTGATAGAGTCTTTTAATCACTTCCAAGTCAAAAATTCCCACTAATGTGATGCCTTCAGCTTCAAGTTATTGAAAAGATCTTAATATTTTCAGTTTATAATTTATAATTTAATGTATTTGTATTATAAATATAATTTATAGGTTATAAGTATATTAATATTTTAAATTTAACTCTTACTAGCAATTTAACACTGAGAACACCTATGCCAGAATTCAGGCAGTGTAGAACAGATAATTTACAACTTTTGTGAAATCTCTTACCATTGCTTGTGTAAACTACAGCGGTAATGTCGCAAGGAGGGGTGAACTTAAACTCAACATGCATCCTTGCTGAAGGGTCAGAAGTATCATAGGTCTAGGTTCAGATCCTGATGACAACATATTTTTGCCTAGACGATCTTGGCCTGTCGTTTACATTTTCCTTGGTAAAATGAGGATGGTAATGACCCCATAGTCTGGTCAGGAGGAGTAAATGACATAATGAATAAAGCAGAACTTAATAAGCTTTTCTTCCAGGATAAACATATATCTTTCTGCCTTTTGTTGGCATTCAAACCTCTGTTCAGACTTTCATTCTGCTACAAAATATGTTGTGTGGGCAGAGGGTGGGTTGGAGTGCAGCTGATCTTGGCAGAAGTTCCTAAGAGCTTTTATGTAGCTGGCCTTTCAGTTTACCGGGATCTTTTCACTGTTATTTAAGCCCTAAGCGTCTGAGCTAAAGTAGTTGTCTGATTGCTCCATTGTCACACATTCCTTAATACCTACTTTCCATAGCTCTGTGCAAATGCTTCTTATGCAGGTAACCTTTGACATAGAGACAGAACTGCTGAAAATAGATTTTCCCTTAGCTGAACCTTCTCCCGGGCAATTTAATTCTTTATAATCATTTTAGTCAATTTTTCTAGTTTTCTTTTGTTGTTATTTGTCCATAATAGCAAGTCTAATGAAGACGTGAGTTTCAGTTTCCTTCTCTTTTCCACAGCTACACCTCCTCAGTCAGTAGGAAGCTCTGCCCTTCCTCATTATCTGGTCATCAGCGCCCCAGACTCCTTTTATTAGCAGATTCTAGTCAAGGCGTCTACTTCTCTTTGTTACTTTTGATCCACTAGTCCCTGACACATTGTAAACACTGAATAAATGGTAACTGTAATTTTCATCACCATAATTTTAAGGCTTACCATGTTTACAAGTGCTAACAGATGATCGATGAACTGACATCTATCACCTTATCAGTCACCAGATTCTATTCTTTCTACTCATCTGATTGGTGGGGTGGGGATCTCTTTCTGATGCCTTGTAAGTAATTCAAGTTGTAATTTTCACTATTGGTATGGCCTGGCTATTGCTTTAACATGAATGAGCAAAAAAAAATGAAACTGGAAGAAAAGAGTCATCTATCAGAATAACTAGATCCAGGAGTTCAAAGAGGAAGAAGAAGAGACCAAGAAGTGAATTTTCTGTCAATTATACTGTGCTTTATCTGAAATAATATGTATTAGGAAGAACTGTATTGGATGTTCGATTCCCTGCATTCCCAGATACACATTGTTCCTACATTTCTAAGCCTTTTTTTCAACTTCCTCCTAATGGCGAAAAGTACATATAGCCCTTACAAATTACTTTAATAGTCACTGCTTATCTATTGAGTTGAGGCATGTGTTAGCTCTCATAAAATTTTAGAAAATATAATGCATGGTAACTATCACTTTGAGCAGTAGTATGTCAAAGTAAAAAGAATGAAGAGGAGGATATGTGATGTTGGAGTCAGTCCTGGAGGCAACTAAAGTACCTCAGGTGGTGAGATAACGCTGCTGTTACAGATGGTTTCTGGACCAATTTATCACAATCTTTTTTAGGACATCATTATATTTCAATCAAATCGAGCAACTGTATGTCAGGCAATTTAAAGAAAACAGGCATATTTGTCCTGTATAATAAAGTCAGCAAATAAAGAGGTGATAGCAATTTGTTTATTTCCCTTTGTCCAACCGTAGGCCCAGGGAAAATGCCTTTCAGTGCAGGTTTTATTTCCACTGAGGAGTCTACCTTTCAGTGAGTGTGATGTTCAGGACTCGGGACCATTTTTCCTGTCCTGAGGATAGGGATAGGGTTGAATCTGAAGTCATGATAGGTACATGATGGATTTAATGCAGCATCAGCCGCATTAGTCTGTAAAAAGGGCTAGGCCTTTCATGATGCCTCTCCTCAGCTGCCAGTTTCCTCAGTAGGCTGGTGCCTCACAGGGCCATCACTCTCAATTCTGCTACTTTGAAGTGAAGTCAGGAGGCTTATTTTAATTGGCCTATTTACTCCTAATGTCTGTTCATGAAATGTTTGTGGAAAGACTTAAAATCAGTGTATAGTATTGGCATTGTGGCTTTCAGTGCTCTGACGAGCAGGCTGTGTTACAGTGAACTATTAGACAATTTGAATAGTTTGCTTGAAATTAGAGTGTATCAATGTTTTCTGAAGGGGTTGCACCTGTAGTTTTAGCTGTCAAATAATTATGATTATAGTAGCCCCCTCTTAGGCACGATTTTGCTTTCTGCTGTTTGAGTTGCCCACGGTCAACTGCATTCTGAAAATACTAAATGGAAAATACTAGAAATTCAGAAATTTTAAATTACGCATTATTCAGAGAGTGTGGTTAAATCTTGTGCTGTATCAGTCTTTCCCACCTGGGAGATGAATAATTCCTTTTTCCAGCGTATCTGTGCTGTATAGGTTCCTGGCCCCTTAGTCACTTAGTAGCTGCTTTGGTTATCAGATTAACTGTCACTGTATCACAGTGCCTGTGGTGACTTGACCCTTGTTTTATTTATTATGGCTGCTTATTGTGGTAAGCCGTATTTTACCTAATAATGGTACCAACACACAAGGGTAGTGATGCTGACAATACAGATATGGTGAAGAGAAGCAGTAAAATGCTTCAAGTGAAAAGGTGCAAGTTTTGTCTTAATAAGGAGAAAGATTATATGCCGAGGTTGTTAAGATCTGTGGTAACAATAAATCATCCATGAAATTGTGAAAAATGAAAAATTTGTGCTAGTTTTGCTGTTGTGCCTCAAACTACAAAAGTGCAGGCTACCGTGTGTATAGAAAAAACATAGTACGTGGATTGAGTTCAGTACTATCAGCAGTTTTAGGCATTCACTGGGGGGTCTTAGGACTTACTTTCCATGGATAAGGAGGGAATACTGTATTGTCTAATGATATTTGGTACAAAAATCTAAATGTACAAAGATTTCTTGAGTATCCTGGCTCAGTTTTCTGTGTGAGCTGACTCAGTGACTAAAAGGGAGGGCACTTTTCCTTTGTAGTCAACAAAAT